GCAAGAAAAAGTTAAATCAAGACAAGAAGAAGTTGAATCAAGACAAGAAAAAGTTAAATCAAGAGAAGACGTTGAACCAAGACAAGAAGTTGAATCAAGACAAGGAAAAGGTGACTCAAAACAAGAAGAAGTTGAATCAAGACAAGAAGAAGTTGAATCAAGACAAGAAAAAGTTAAATCAAGACAAGAAGTTGAATCAAGACACGAAGAAATTGAATCAGAACAAGAAGAAGTTGAATCAAGACAAGAAAAAGGTGACTCAAAACAAGAAGAAGTTGAATCAAGACAAGAAGAAGTTGAATCAAGACAAAAAGTTAAATCAAGACAAGAAAAAGGTGACTCAAAACAAGAAGAAGTTGAATTAAGACAAGAAGAAGTTGAATCAAGACAAGAAAAAGTTAAATCAAGACAAGAAGTTGAATCAAGACAGGAAGAAATTGAATCAGAACAAGAAGAAGTTGAATCAAGACAAGAAAAAGGTGAATCAAAACAAGACAAAGTTGAATCAAACAAGCATTTAAAAGAAAATATTCCTTTGATTGAAGATCAGAAGAAAAATTTAATTAAAGATCAAAAAAATGATTCTACTGATAAAATTCGAAAATCTTCTATTGCGTATGATCAAGAGAAATCAGGAGATATTGAATTAACATCATTTACTGTTCGTTGGGAATCTATACCATCAACAGATAAAAATCAAGATGAAAACAATTCTTTAATTCGTCTTTTTTGTCAATGGGCATCACCAAAATCATCATCTACAATTGATTATTTTACAATTGAACGTCAATTAGGTGATCAAGAATGGTTATCAATTGGAGAAAAAATTAATAAATTAAAAAATCAAACACAATTTGATATTTCACTATTGGATGATAATAATGAAATTAATGTTAATATTCCATCATATTTTCGTCTTAAAGCTCATTTAAAAAGTGGTCAAACATTCACAAGTAAACCGACTGATGAAATATTTATGCATTTGTTTGAAGATAAAAATATAATTATACCTCATGTGGAAATTCTTTCATCTAATTCTGTTCAATTAACATGGAATGATAATAACAATGATGAAAAAACAAATATCTATGATATTGAAAAGAAAGAACAAGAAGAAGAAGAACAACAACAAGAATCAGAATGGGAAAAAGTTATTGAAGTTCCATTATCACAACGTTCAGCTAGAATAGATAGTTTAACTGATGCTAAACAAACTCAATTTCGTTTGATACCATCAACAAGTGAACTTGAAGAAATGGAAAAAACAGGTATGATGAAAATACAATCAGCTCTTTTTTTTTTTTTATTTAATAAATCTTTTTCTTTTTGTAGATAATGAAGTCGAACCAGAAGTATTGACCGTACATAATGTTAATGAATTGTTAAATTCATTACATATTAATCCAACATCAACAAATACAGTTGATATTGATATATCCGACGAAGGTTTTAACGAATTTGACTGTTATAAAATTGAATATACAACAACTGATCAACGCAATCAATGGAAACAAGTAAAATATTGTTTTTTTTTGAATATTTGACAAATATAAATAGTTCTTTTTTTTTCTTTTTTCTCTCTCTAGGTGTCGGATATTACTCAAGATGATCCACATTTAACAATTGATAATCTTAAACAAGGAACTAATTATAAATTTCGTTTTACTCCAATTGTATCAGGAACAACAACAACAAATGGAACTGATACTTCTCAACTTTCACTTGTCCTTGATGTTAAAATGCCATCAGCACGAAAAGGACGATGTTAGCTCAAGAAGATCTCTACATATATACAAATATATTTGTTTGTTGTGTTTTTTAGTTGATAAAACTGAAACTAAAACTGAAACTGAAACTCCGGTAGCTGTTCAACCTCAATTTTCAATTCAAAAACTTGATTCAACAAGTGTTCTTGTCGAAGCAATTGTCCCGACAGAAGAACCAGCAACATTTGAAGATGTTTATGATATTTATTCAAAAAATGAAACAACAGATGATAATGATTGGAATAAAGTACGTAAGAGAAAAAAAAAAGAAATTTAATATTGCATTGTACTTTATCACACAATAGAAGATTGATTTTTATTTGATGTTGTAAATAGTAGAAAGAAAACGCCATTTTCGATCGGAAAATGATAGGAGCTTAGAAGCAAGAATCCCGTAACCAAATTCTGATTGGCTCCAATCAGAATTGAATAAATCCGGTCATCGAATCGAATCACTCGATTCCTGTTTCCAAGTTCCTATCATTTTCTAGAGTTTTTCAGTCGTACTTCATTCATCTGAATTTTTTCTTATCTTATTAATACATAATTTAGGTTGGAACAATTGATAAAGAGCATTTAAGTACAACAATTGACAATCTTGAAGAAAATACACCTTATAGTTTTAAAATTGATAATATAACATCATTGACAACTGATGATCAAAGTAATACCGTACAAGAATTTAAATTTGAGACAACACCAGGTAAAATTAATTTCCAATTTACTCTATAAAGAGTACATGCTAATTGAAAATTTTGCTATTATTTCAGTAAAACAATATGATCCATCTTTATTATTGGAAAAAATTGACCAAAGTCTTGAAAATGTTGTTAATGGTGTTATGAAAGCAGGTAAGAAGAATTGAACACTTATTGAAATATGAACATTAATCAATGTTGAAAATGATAATAACAGAATTCAAGAATATCAGTGTTAATAAAATGTTTAAACAAATAAAAACAAATAATCTACTATCAATATGAATGTCTTGAAACTATAAAAATCGATGAATGATTTCGATATTGGATAGTTCTAAACTTAATTTTTTCAATGCTAGTAACTTTCAGAACTTTTATTTTGTCATCAAATTAACAGTTAACATGAAAATTCTTTCATCTGAACGATAGGTTCTTTTTCTTAGTTTTGTTATATATATCTATCTCCAAATAATAATAATAAATCTTTGAAAAAATTAATATAATTTATCTTTAGCTGCTGGTCATCAAACACTTGAAGAACCAGTTAATAAAAGTTTAACTGAAGTTATTAAAGAAGTCTTTCGGGATGAAGCACTTGTACCAAGTGAACAATATGGATTTGATACATTAGCATTACATGATGATTTATTATTATATCGTGGACCAAAACAAATGATGTTAAAAGAATTAGAAGTAGATGAAACAAGTGATTTA